CGCAAGTCGTTTTTGCTTTTGAGAAACGGAAGTTGTTTGACAACAGGCTGGGAGGAGTTGGCACAGTTGGCACCGAGCAGTCAGGTGAGACCGTTGGTTGCACAACAGCGTGAGCTTTGCGTGATTGTTTTTGGCAAACCATTGGGAGATATTGAACAACCAGTTGAAGCTGACCCCAGGGCACAAGCCAAAGAGTTGCAGCGCGCCCAAAAGTGGGCTTCCTTGCCGAGAGAGTTGAAGCTTGCCATTCGACGGGTTCATGTCAATCTTGGCCATGCGAGCGTGACACAAATGTTGCGGGCTCTTCGGGTGAGCAAGGCGTCGGAAGTCGCCATTCGTGCTTGCAGATTGTTTCGTTGTGAGGCATGCCCTCGAGTAGCACCTCCAAAGAAGCAAAGACCTAGCAAGTTGCCACTGACAGAAGAGTTCAACGTACAGATTGGCTTAGATGTGTTTCAGTGCAAGGACGCCGATGGACACAATTGGAGTTGGCTCAACATTTTGTGCCAGGGTACTTGTTTCCAGATTGCAGTGTTGTTGGAGCAGACACATGCAAACCCTACATCCGAAGAGGTCATCAAAGCATTTGACATTGGATGGGTCAGCTGGGCAGGTTATCCAGAGTTCGGTGTTTTCACTGACAGAGCCAAGTATTTTGTGACGCATTTTTCTGAAGCTCTTTCCGCAGAAGGTGTTTACTTCCAGAGTGCAGCCAAGGCTAGTCCTTGGCAGATCGGACAAGTCGAGCGGCGCGGAGACATTTGGAAAAGCATGTTGAAACGAGTTGTTTGGAGTGAACAAGTTTCTGGCAGAGAGTCTATGGTTCATGCCACTTCAGCTATCAACCAAGCGAAGAACAGCTTGATTCGCAGGTCGGGGTTTTCGCCGGCGCAATGGGTCTTGGGACGACAGACTCGGCTGCCAGCTGACCTGACAGATGAGAGCGAAGTGACGCGCTTGGGAGCTTTGTCGTTAAGCTTGACACCAACCAGCAGGTTTTACCAGAAGTCCAAACTTCGTTTCGCTGCTCGAGAAGCCTTTGTCAAAGTTAGCTGTTCAGATGCCCTGAAAAGAGCAGAGCTCCGGAAGGTCAAGCCTTCACGTGGTCCTTTTCCTGTCGGTTCCTATGTGTTCTACTACGATGCCAGTGACACTGCACCTGGCCCTGAGTGTTGGAGAGGTGTTGCAAGAGTTGTTGGACACGAAGGATCGCATACAGTTTGGCTGAGTCACAGAGGACTTTTGATAGCAGTCAGTCCCGAACATTTAGCCTTCGCCATGGATGAGGAAGTGCAACATTGGTTGAATGTTGGGACAGAAACCGAGCTAATGGATGCACAACCAGGCGCCGGTGGGACCGGCTTCATTGATCTTCGCGCATTGCCCAAGCCAAAGACGACAGAGTTGGACACAGTTCGGGAAGGAGAAGAGCAGTTAGAAATTGAAGACAAGCCTCCAGGACAGATTCAAGACATGTCACCTTCTGCAAAAGGTGATTTGGAGTATGAGCCATCTGAAGCACCAGTTCCTGAAGCGACAGAGCAAGCTCTAGCACCTGCACCTGCCGAAGATATGTCCTCGGGCTCTACATCCATGGCCCGGATGCGCTATGAGTCAGAGAGAGATGCCAAGAAACATCGCCGTGATTCAGAGTTCTTTGCACGAAAAGAGCGTGAGAGAAGGGAGAAAAGAGATGCCCGACTTCAACAATTGCAACAGCAAGCAGCTTTGACTCCATTGCCCCCGATGGAGACAGCAGAGTTCGACCCAGAGATGCATGACTACCACCAAGCTTCACCGTCCAAGCGTCTTCCTGCAGTGAGTGAAAATCCTGAGACCGAAGCCCAGGAGCGGGAAGCCAAACGGCTTCGCGGTGATTTGCCTCCGGACGATGCTGACGGTTTGTTTTGCTACCATGTTGTTGAACACCCCCAATTGTTGAAGCAGCGTGCACGAGAATCATATGCAAACAAAATAGATGACTATTCGAGCCGGAATGTTTCGTTGGATGATTTTCTTTTTGCCTTCAGAAGGAATGTTTTTGATGAGCATTATCAAGCCATGTACGACCACGCCATGCAGGCAACCCCAGGTCAGAGTGCTGGTAAGAAGAAGGGTCGCAAAGAAGTTTATTTAAAGGACTTACCTTCCGAAGTTCGCAACCAGTTTTTGCAGCCTGGCGGTTCCGATGACCGTGAGTGGCAGGCCTGGCAGGAGAAGGAAGCAGTTGATGTTCTTTCAGAGGCAGAGAGTCAGTCGATCCGTGAGAAACGCCCGGACTTGATCATCCCGACCAGATGGGTTAGAACCAACAAGAATGATGGTTTGGAGAAGGCTGAATTTTTGGCTAAATCCCGTTTGGTAGTACAAGGTTTCAAAGACCGGAGTCTTGGATTTTACAGAAGGGACGCTCCAACCGCAAGTGCACTAGCTGAGAGTGTCTGTTTGGCAGTTTCTGCATTCAAAGGCTTCACCATGATTTCCAAGGATGTCAAGAATGCTTACTTTAGTGGAAAATCCCTTGATCGGGAGATTTACTTGGAACAGCCTCGCGGTGGCCTGCGGGGATTGAAGCCGAAGCAGTTGCTGAAAGCCAAGAAGGCCATCTACGGCTTCAGCGAAGCTGCTCGAATGTTTTGGATTGCTTTGAAGGGTCACCTCAATAGTGACGGTTGGGAAGAAAGTCGCCTCGAGCCAGCATTGTTTTACCTCCGAGATGGTGGTGCAGACGGCAAGCAGTTGAGAGGAATCTTGGTTACGCATGTTGACGATGTTGAGGGAGGAATTATCCCTCTTACATGGACATTGCTTTTGCAAGATCTTCCAAAGCTCTAGAGTACGCCACCAATCATTTCAAAGAGTTCGTTTTCAGAGGCCGTGAGATCAAGCAACATGTGGATGGTCACATTGATGTTAGCATGCGGAATTACTCACTCAGCACCCGCAAGATCCATATTCCTAATGCTAGACGTGCCCAGGTCGAAAGTTCCCTCACTTCAGAGGAATTTGCTGAGTTCCAATCTGGAGCAGGGGAGTTAGGCTGGCTGACCAGACAGTTGCGTTGTGATTTGTGTTTTGAAAACGGCGTGATTCAGAGGTCAAAGACAGATGCTTGCGTTGGTGATTTGATCCGCCTTCGGCAGTGCCTTGCACAAGCCCGCAGGGCAGCCGATTTCAGACTTCGCTTTTGGAGCGATGTTGATTTGGAGCATGGTGTCCTGATCCATTTGGCAGACAGTGGACACGCCAATGGGACCCCAGAATCTGACGACATCAAACGTTACAGAAGCGTTGGTGGATATTTCCTTCTTGTTGCAAATCCAGAAATTTTGGATGACAAGCCAAGCCGTGCAAATATTTTGGCATTTCAAAGTGGACAAACAAAGAGAGTTTGCAGATCAACGCTTGCAGCAGAAGCTTCGCATTTAGCAGAAGCTGTCGAGGCTGGCGACTGGTGTTGTTGTTTGTTGGAAGAAGCGTTGCATGGAAATTTGAACCTGAAGGATTGGCCATCGGTGATTCACCGCCGCCAGAGGGCATACGTCACAGACGCCCGTTCGGTGTTCGATTACTTGCATAAAGATGCTACTTCAACATCCACCGACAAGCGCATGGCTATTGAAGGGGCCCTCCTGCGAGAGACTGTGCGACAGCCCAATGCAGTGGTCAAGTGGATTGATGGTATGCAAAACATCGCTAATGTTTTGACTAAAGCAAATGCTGAAAAGGATACTTTGAGAGCTTTTCTTCGTGACGGCATCACTAGCCTAGTCCAGAGTGAAGCCAACAAGCTTTTGAAGGAAAAGAAACGGCAGGAAAGACAGAGATCCAATGCAAAGAAGAAGAAAGCCGAGCAAAAGAAAGAGGCAAATGTCGAGCGTCGGAAGAAACTGGCTGCAGAACTTCGAGACGATGAGGATGCGAATGCCAGTGGAAGCTCGAACCAAAAATAAAAATAATGGGTGTGAGAATCTCCATTGGAAATGCCTCAGCAGGTTGTTTCGAGCTTTCGTGCTTTCGAGGCCATGGCCCGGCCCAAGAGACCACGGCCGCGTGATCCATGCAAGCATGGCCCCAGAGCTCGATCGGCCCAGCCGGCTTAGGATGACACGCACAAAACAGAGAAGAGTACCAGAAGCAGCATAAGGAGGCAGAACACGTTCAATGCTTTTGTTTCACATACCTTCGTTCACCTTAGAGTGAAAAGGTCCGTCGGTGCCCGCTTTGCTACCAGTTGCGCATTCCGCAAAAGGTAATGTATATGGTGAATATATGATAATATATGTGTTTTGGGGGGTATATGGATGGGAGGACGTGGATGGGCTCTACGCCGCTCCTATCTTCCAAATTACTTTTTTTGGGGGCGTCTGGTACCCCTCAATATTCCTTAACCTATATGTACCTTTCCTTTTTATTCTTCAACCCACCCTTTCGTAGGTTTCAAATGGCCAGACCGACGTAGCTGGATAATTTCAAGGGAGATGTTTGCCGCTTGAAGCCCTCCTCCTAGAGGAACCAAACTGAAAGAGCAGCTGCATTTGGCAGCTTTTCCTGCTCGATCAGAATAAACAAGAAGACCGTAGTGGGGTAGTAACTAGGCCACGCACTTGCCTGAAGTTCTGCTCGATTGATTCTTTGATGGCTCTGAGTGTGTGTTGCTGCGACAACTGTATTATCAATCTCTTGCTAAACATGTTGTTTTTGGTGGACAATGGCCCATCTGGATCTCAGAAATGAGCAAGTGCATGATTCTTCCTTCTCGTGGAGGAAAGAAACACTCCGTTCTGAGGAGAACGAGGAAAAAGGCGAGCAAATGAGTTTGTGGCAACATGTGGCAACAGTCTTATTGGGTGGTGAAGAGACAAACAAATCATGTGAAGTGACCTGTTCTAAACACAGGCTAGCAGCATCTAGCATAGTGTTGGTTGCGTCTAGAGACATCCACTTCAAGGCTTTTCATGACCCACCCGTTCTGTCGTTCCGTCGTTCCGTTCCGCCAGGATCAAGGTCGGCGTGGCCAGTTCAGGAGCCGATCTCCAAAGGTCAGAGGCCTCAGAGGCAGAGGCCGGCTTCGAGACTTCGGGAGTGTGGCTCTGGTCCTGGGTGTTTTGACTTCGATCCTCTCACCGTTCACTCTTGTTCGGTGCAGGGAGCGACTGAGAAATATGAACTGTTTTTCTAAGAGTGACAATTGATCCGGGTTTTGTGGCAGGTTGCCTTTTGCATGAAGGTGGACTCTGGCACCATCAAAGAGTAAGTTGAGAAGCAATGAGCTCCTAGCCATCTGATTATTAGAGCAGACCTCCAGGAACGAAGGGATTCGGGTACTCTTGCCCATTGCGGAAGTTACGATTTTGAGTCCTATTAAAGCCATTAAAGCCTTCAACGAAGAGTAGATCCAGAGTCGCACACTCAGGTGTGAAAGCACTGGCAGATCCGCGCGATTGCAAAACAGAGCAGACGCGGGGATGTGATTCTCCATGTAGCCTTTGCATGCACGTTGTCAAGTTCGCCTTCTGCACCAGATGTTGAGTTAAGACTTCTGATGTAAGCCTCAGAGCCGCAAAGCGGCGCGAAGCGGGGGTCATGCCCCAGGCTCATTTTTTTGTTTGGCCATCGTTGATACCGGAGGGATCCCATGGACGCTCCTGTTTGGCCCACAGATCCTGCTGAACTTTTGGCTGAGTCTGGGCACGACTGAGCCACTGAGCCACGTGTGGAGAGGACGATGCCACAAGAGCAACAGGTGGGTCCCGAATGTTCACCAGGGACTGTTGTAGAGGGTGGGGATGATGGGTGGATGGTTGGAGCAGGTTTCAAGATCATTTGGAGCAGATTTCATCATCATATCAAAGAAAGGTGGCGCCTGGTACACCTGCAGGGTTCTTTTGGTCTCCATTTTTGAGCGATAGTGTGGACCCCTTCAAGATGAGACCCTGCTCAGATGGCTGACTTGATGGGTGGTGACAGGCTGGAAACTCAAGACTTGATGTGATGAAAAGGATAATTATCCACAAAATTGACATGCAAGATCGGGGAGGGATAATTTCATACTATACGTTGAACAAGGATTGAGAATTTGTTAAGGTAAACACCTCCTGAAGACACTTCCTCAATTCCAGCAATGCTGTGCCAGAACTGAGAATTTGATTCTGGCATGAGCATTCGTGAAGCGGTAATTAGGTGCACCTTTTGGCCTTAGGTCATTGCGCACATTGACAGAAGAACTGAACTTCGGTATCTCGTTTGTTTTATGAACCCCCGGGTGCTATTCACTTCAGGAAGAGTTGCAGGAAACCTCCTGCTTCCAGAACCCTATCTTCCGGTCATCGGTTTTGTGCCACTTTGATCCCAGGGTGCGTTGCTTCCACCCGTGTTGGAGGTCTCATGAAGCTCTTCCAGAGCATCAAACAGAAGATTGGTGAGGAGACTGAATAACGTGGGTGGTGTCCACCGCCGTAAAGTTTTATAGGATGAACATACGAGGTGCCGTACCAAGCTCCACTTGCAAAGCGTGAGCCATGAGTAAGGCTAAGGCCCAATTTGAGAACTTTGGAATTGCCTCATTCCATCGCTACTAGCTAGTAGGGTGGAGGCCATCGCTATTAAAAGGTTGGAGGCCATCGCTATTAGGTTGGAGGCCATCGCTACTAGTAGCAAGAAGCATTTAAGTTTTGGGTGCTTTGCAGGATGCAGAAGATCAGGCTGTCTGCGACCTGAGATGTTTGCACTGACAGGTGACTCTGACCGTTTGTTGCACAGAGCTCGAAGTTCTGCCAACGGTGTCATGCTAAGGCTCCCAAGCCAAAACCAGGCCTTGGCTGCTTTGTTCTTGACTTTGAGTAGCGGGGTCAAAGAGCCACCTGAGCTGCTTTGCACTCGGGGAATGCAGTTGCACACACTTGATATCGTTGCAGGTAGAGCGAAGCCGCCAGAGACCAGCTTTCCTTCCCTGTGAATGTCTCAGCTGTCAGGAAGACTCCGCTCCCCTTTTCCATCAGTTAGGAAAAGAGACTTGAAGAGATTGATTTGGTGGAACAAGTGGGTTTAAAAACATACAGTAGAAGATTATCTCCAAGAGATGGACAACATTTGAATAGTGTACAAAAAAGAGAACACAACATGTATAAAGCGACAAATGCAAAGCAACATAAGTAGTTCTACCAGGTGCAAAGAACCGTGCTCCAGTGCTCCCCCTTCTTTTTTGGGGGCTAAGATTGTGTCCTCGTGGCTTGGACGACCAGACAAGTCAAGGCCCAAGCTGCGCGACGAGATCGCGGCCGACCGGCCAGAGCTCTTCCGGCAGAAGCTGCAGGCGAAGCGGAGGGTCGGATGCAATGTTACCCCTGAGACGGCTCACTGCGAATCTCCCAAAAAAAAGGAGTGCGAAAGGTTCCGAACTGGTGACCAGTTAAGATTTGGATCTTGATCTCATGAGGCAAACTGAAGGAGCTTGCAACATGCCCCATCGTGGACCTGAAAAGCATCGGTTTGGAGTCTTGCCTCTACCAGTATAACATGAAAGGTCATGTCATATGCAGCTGTCAGCTGTCAAGCATAGATGCCAATCCGGGGTGCAGGTCCTGAGACAATACCGACCATATATATATATATATACAGATAGAACAAGTGAATGTTGACAAGACAAGAAAACATAGAGTTTTGGCATAGCTCCTTCCATGGATGAATATGCGGGGATGGGATTTGGGTCTCCCCTGGCCGTTGACATCGACTGTGCACGTGAAAGCCGTACTGACAGGTCATCAGACATGCATGGCCTTCAGAAAAAGACATCTTGCTTGATACATCTTGATACTCATGAATGCATTTTGTTTGCAGATCTTGGACTTCAGGCATGCTGCATCATCTATGACTTCAGCTCCGAGTGCACCTCCCAGTGGGTGCTGGGGTGCTGGGACCAGGTTCAGTCATGCTCAGAAGATTTCCAGAACCCTGAGAGGAACAAACATGAAGTGCGACATTGGTTTCATAGAAGCCTTTTTGATCCTTTTGTTCCGGAGTCTGTTCCATAACCCACCAAACTAGCTTCTCGCTCCTCATGACGGTCTGCTGAGTTGTTGCCGAGTTGTTCCGTGGACGGCAGGAGCAACATGAAGGCGAAGGAGGCGAAGAGGCAAACTTTGCTGGAGATCGTCGAACATGCCCGCTGCTGAGAAGGGCCGTTGCATTTGAAAACATGGAGCACATCTGAAACGCTGCAGAGGAAAGGAGCACATCCACAGGGTTGTGCTCAGATGTGTCAGCCCAGTCATGCGTCTGGGATTGAAGCCTTTGCTTGTACCCTGATAAATGCAGGAACCAAGAACGCAGGTTACCATCGTCCACGTGGTGCCACTCCCAAGGTCAATAGTAGCCGTGCGGCTTTTAACGACTCCTTGATCCCGGACATTGTGAAAATGCTGGGTGCGAATATCTTTCGGGCTTTGCCGCCCAAGGACGGCGGGACAAGACCTGGGCCCTTTCCGTGCCGAGAAGGAACACTCAAAGGATTGGCAACCCAAAGTTCTGGGGACCTCTCCTGATTCTATGGGAATGACTCCAGAGTAGATTCCGACCGAGAGCTCCACTGTGAGGGCAGCCACATTTAGCAACCAATTTTTGGACGGTGACAGGCTCGGTACCACGCGTCCTCCCCATTTTGAGGACCGCTCCTTTATAGTCTTTGGCGATGATGAGGAGGACGGGTCCATGGAGTTCCGTACTGGTCGGGTGTTAAAGCCTCGGTCACCAGTCTTTTGCTGATGGGTTCGATTGGGTCCAGTTGCGTCCTTGCTCCTAGTAGCGATGCCCTTTGCTCCTAGTAGCGTCCTTGCTCCTAGTAGTAAGGCCAACAGCCCCTAGTAGCGTCCTTGCTCCTAGTAGTTTAGTCTGGTTTATGAGGATTTGGCCGCAACATCCATTTTTGAGTGGGAGGAGCCCACCTTGGAGAGGGCTTGGCCCCATTTGCAGATTGTCTATGAGTTCTTCTTGCGCTTCGTCCGTGCCTGAGCGTTTGCTGGTGACGATCGTTTCGTTGGCCAATCGTTCCGAGCCCGGTCTCAGGTGGTCTCCAATGAGATCGACCCAAAGGTCCATTGGCCAGTTGGGAAGAAACACCAGGGTGGTTGGAAGGGGAAAACTGGGAAAGCACTGGAGGAGATTTAAGGCGATCCAAGATTCGGTGCTTTCAATGGGTCAGCAAATTTATGGCTGGATTATATAGATGTATATATGTATACTGTATGTATTTGTATGTGATTTTGCCCTGAGCAAATCATCAATCTGCAAGCTTTATTGTATTCAGAAGGTCCAGAAGGTGGCTTGAAATACATTAATTATACAGTATATATATATATTGACATTTAAAGGACACTTGTGTGTTTCTTTGATGGCTTCTTTGATGGCTTTGGTGTCTTCCTACCATGAAGTCGCCCATTCATGCCTCGTAATGCCTCGTAGCATTGTATGTTCCGAGATTTCCAATGTGTTTCTGAAAGCATGGAGCACTCTCAGGTGGCAAAGGCTTCTTTGAACGCCGAGTTCATCTCGCAGATGTCTTATGCCTAGACTCAGTAGACTCACCTCAAGGCTCGACTCACCGGACACAATCAACATAAACCAACATAGTTCCTTAGACAACTTCCTTTTTAAATAAAGAACAGTGTCCTTCCTTGCCTACAAAATCAAAACAGTGTGCAACACCAGGACACTTTTTTCCTTTTCCTCCCTATGTGGGGTATGGCCTGAAACTGGTCTTTCAACTGTGGGATAGAAAATGCCCAAGCGCGCCGAGGATGGAACTCTTTGACTCTGACGACCCGCGCGAGCGGGAGCGATGGCTGTGGGGCTGTGGGGACGGTGGGATGGGCCATTTCAAAGTAGTGAGTCGTTGATTACGTTTGGAAGTCACCAGGAACATTTCGATTAGGTGGAGGCCATTGCTATTAGGTTTCTTTTGCTAGTCACCAGGAATATGTTGTCATGTCCACAAGGACTCCCCCCAGTCACAGAGTCGTGCTAACATGAGTGGAACTTGAGTGGCGACCTCCGGTTGAGACTCGTTGCTCTTGGGAACTTTTGATTCCACTTTACTTTCAGCAGAATTGTCAATGCTGAAACTCGAGAAAGATTCGGAGCCAAGCATGCATTTAGTGTGCTCCATGGTGTCGAACAGTTTGGCTGCAGGACTATTTGAAAACCATCCTGCACCGGATCTATGGCAAGTTTATGACCTTGCGAGCCTTCATTCGACGGTCGATTCAACAAACCTTCTACAAGGTAGGTGAACATCAGCAGCATTTGCTCAGTGATTTCTTCTTCAGCATGTCTTCATACCTTCCACAGCAAAGTCACTGCAGCACTCCACCCTTCGGACCTTCCAGAGCTGCCATTGTGCCTAAGCCAGAAATGGCTGGCTCCGCGGAAAGGTGATGTACGAAAACGACATGTACAATGGAGTAGGTCCTGGGCCTCAGTGGGTCCTGGGCCTTGACTCAGTCGAAGCGCGAGTCAGCTAAGCGCCGAGAAAGAGCCGCATTGGGTTTCTTTGGTGTGTTTCTTTGGAAGGGGGTATATAGCTAAGGTAGTTGTGAGGCCACAAAGTAGTGAGGCCAAGCATTTTGAAGAAAGCAAAGACAGTTTTGGGATGGTGACAGCTCCTGAAGGTTGCTACATCTGGCTACTTTTCAAAACTCAGATGTTGATTCAGGTGAGCTGCTGGAAATTATGGGCAGCATCATCAATGGCTTTGCACTTCCCTTAAAGGAAGAGCACAAGGAGACTTGTTCCACTTTGTCCCGTTACATCAACCCATTCTGAGGGCGTCGCGATCAGTAACCTGAGCTAGCCGGACCAGTTCTATCTTGGAGCCACCAAGTCTTCAAGTCGCGGCTCAAAATTTTCACCTCAGTGAACATCGCAGTCGCGTCAGCGGTGCCATGGTGTTCAACTTCGAGGTCTCCTCCAGCATGCAGCCTTTGGAGCCTCAGGACGAACCGATGCCCGTCGATCCCACGGCGGAGCAGTGCGGCTTCGACTCGCTGCTGCCGCGCTCCTTGTGGAGCTCCGAGTCGTCCAGTGCCCTGGTGTGCCACCCCTCGCGCGCGCTGAAACAGCGCAGCCGTCGGATTAAGACCCAACATTTCTTGCAGGAGCACCAACCTGGAAGTCTGTTTTTACACGTTCTTTTTCATCTTTTTTTGAACTCTTTTAGACGCATCTTTCTTTCTTTCTTTCTTTCAAGAGTTCTTGTAGGAGCACAACTTCAAGGGTGTGAATGAGCCACAACGTGTCTCTTCCGGTTGCTTTGGCTCAGAGACCATCTACCCAATTCATGTGGCCTCCCAGTTGGGAGACCACGAAGCTTTACGCTTGCTGATACGTTCTGGGGCCTCCTTCAATCAGAAGACGTCTCGGGGCCGAACGGCCTTGGACTTGGCAGAAGCAGCAGATCGAGCTGGATCACACAGTGAGGTCATCGCTCTATTGAAGCCTCAAGTGAAGGTTCTGTCTGTCCGGGGTTTCGCCAGGAATCTTCACGCGTAGTTTGTTTAGTCTCGGTCCAGAATCGAGTGAATCGAGGGCCAGAGGCGGTCTGGCGTCCAGAGTACGTGCTGGTGGTTCTTTTTTTTCCCAGGATGGTGAGAGGTCATCCTGAGGAACCGCAGTGGTTTGATCAAGTCGATCCTGTTGTTTGTTTTGTTTTTTTCCGGTACGACGGCAGGTTGTCCGGACCTTCTGGGGCATGCCCACCTGGACAAGGGTCCTTGTTGGGTCTGGTGCCTTCCAGATTCCAGCATCCAGTGCCAAAGGTGGACTGGATGCAGCCAGCTCTTTCATGAGTTGAACAAGGAGTTGAAGACGGGATGCTTCACCTAACAGACCTAACAGTTTTCCGGGGTTCTTCTCACTTGCTTGATTTTCCTCTCACAAAGAGGATCAAACTGGGTCACTCCAATCTGGCCGTGCCTTGCACCGGCCAATCAGTTCGCCCCGGCACAAGTCCAGCGCCAGGACTTTCTGGTGAGAGCCACTTGGTGCAGGTGGTACCGCAAGTGCAGGTGGGCTTGAGGCATTCCCTGACCTGTTTTCTCAGGTCAACATGTTCAATGGATGATTCTACTGGATGGATATGGGGACATGTGCCACAATCCAAAAAGATTTCTGGGTCCTTCCGTACTTCTATGTCACAATTCACGGAGGGGGAGTGAACCAACCGTCACCAACCGTGCCCAATGATGGAGGTTCATGATCCACAAAGATCGGAGTTCATAGGAGCACTTGTATTTCCAGTTAAAGTTGCGAGACATCCAGAGGCTGTCGGATGTCTGACCCCCTTTTTTCAACGACATTCGTTCTCAAACGGGAGTTAAGCATTTTCCGAAAAGTGCGACGTGACATGTCTATCCCAACATCACATGAAATTGTTGAGACGACACCAAAAGTCCAGAGTCCAGAGATCCTTTGGTGGTGAGCTGTAAGGCTCTCATTCCGCTTCACAAGTTGAAGTTCCTGAGCAGCTTTCATCAGCAGCTGTCTTACTGCATGTCGCCCGGACCTCAGATGAGCTGCCATTGAAAGGAGCCGAGGTCATTGCCAGTCGCTCTTTCGAATCTAGGACTTATAAATTTGTACCAGGTAAGGTTGGAGAAGTTGCCAAAGATTTGTGCAGGTGAATGCCCACTACCCTGCGAACATATGTGCTTTCTTACATTGGTTGGACACTCTGTTAGAATTCTGGGCTCTGTTTCCGTGCCTGCACCGTGCCAGCTGCGTGCCGAGGCAGTATGTGACCAAGGATCCCCGCCTCTCACTGCCCATTGTCTCGGCCATGCTCCGGTTTTGGCCCACGACGATCACCTCCAAGCAGGCGTCCGGTTGGAGGGATGGCCCCAAGGCGTAGCTGGCTTGAGTAGGGAACAGAGAAGGAAGTTGAGAATGCAACCCACTTCATATCTTCATGCATCAAAAAGAGACCATCCTGCCTTTTCATCCCCAGGCCCCCCAGGGACTCGGAGAGTGACTTTCCACGCTGTTGAAGCAGCTCTGGCCAGGTGCTCTTCCTGAACGAGTTAGAGGAACTCTTGGAGCTTACGAAGCCCCCCGAGTTCATTGTCATGCAGGACTTCAAGGGAGGGACCTGTTTGTCTCTTTGGTTGACCTGATTGTTGAGGTCAATCAACATTCCAACACTCAGGTTGGTGGATCTGGGGGTCCCGTTTGGTACCGGTGAGTTGGAGATTTTTTCGCTGGTGTTCATTTGGCTTTCACTTGTGATCTGCCACCAGCACCTTGTAATTTATCAGAGGAGGTCTCCTGAGTTGTGAACAGGAGCCACTGATCCAGCGAATAGCGCAATGCATCATGTGCCCTCACTTCCAGGCGACGAGGATTGCACTGGTGAAGCAAAATCCACACAGGCAGTATGTTGCCTAGTTTTACCCTCGAAGAATGAGTAGGAAACCCTTTGCTCAAAGTCTGTAGAATGGTTGGAAAGATCCAAGAGTGCCCCTACCGTCGCACGCGAAGCGGCGAAGCTCTCCTGGTGGTCAATCAAGCTTATGTGAAGTAAGGCCCTTCAGGAATCCTGTCAATACCTCTGCACTGCTGCATTTGTGGCAGGATTCAGGTACGTCATTGGGTTAGGCTAGTTGGTTTTGCCAGTCAGCTAGCCTTCCCCCACTCCCTATCGTGAAGTTGGTCCGGCCACCGAGGGTGTTTAAGGAAGAAAGCCATGAAGGAGTGCAGCAAAGAGCTGTTGCCCTTTTTAGACGGCTGTAAATGTATTGAGTCTTTGCAAGCGCCTGTGGTGTGATGCGGGTAATACCCGTTCCAGCTGTTTGTTTGTTTGTTTGTTTGTTTGTTTGTTTGTCTCTTTCCTGATTGCCAAAAAAAATGTATCTTTCCTGCCAACTTTCACCTGACTGTTGCAGCCATTTATGCCTATCACTTTAGCAAGTGATTGAAAGGAGTGTGAAGTGTGAACATACCTGCCCTCATTCGTTGGCCGATGATCCCCAGTGATGGCACAAATCAATTTGGAAGGGGTGCCAATTCCTCGGACCAGCTGTCCAACTTCCGCTTGGAGTCCAACTGATGGGTGCCGAACATGTTTTGAGACGAGAGGCAAAACAGGATCACCTGGCTTGTCTGGTTCATCCAGGCTTTTCAGACCTTTTCGGCTTTCAGCATTCTTCTCCTTCCTCTTGTCCTGAACAACTACCTCTACTGCCTTGGCATAGCAATATACATCCTGACAGATTTCATGGACCATGGAGACATACTTCGAACACTGCGGCATCCCGCACTCATTGTGGCTGGAAGCAGAACATCGATGTATGGCATTGATTCCGAGGCTCCAAAATCACCTAAGCCGTTGAGGCCTCGGCGGCCTCGACAGCCTCGACAGCTTCGCAAGGGGGAGCCGCCGACCAATGCAGACATATTCTGCCCCTGCCACAGAGCAATTTCGGGAGCAATTTCGTGCCTTTTTACTTCAGGATGGCGTCTTCTTAGTTCAGGATGGCGTCTTCTTAGTTCAGGATGGCGTCTTCGAATGCTGTTGTTCGGAGGTGTTGTGATTTCCACGAGCTGTCGTCTCCAACAGGTGAATACTACGCAGAACACGCAAAATGCCCTTCTACGAGACTAACCACGCAAAGAAATGATTGAGTGAAAAGCCGATAATATCTTTAGGCAACTTAGAAAATGCACATTTAAGGCGATTTTGGGGTGTACAAACAAGACAGAGTGTGCAACGTGTGACCTTACAGAAGCACGCCGTCATAACATCGACCAGATTGAGGACTGCACCCATCAGGCTTTGACTTTGCTGATTGATTGCTCATGTGCTAGTTGGGGAGGCTGGACATGGATGCGCAGCAACATTTGCTACTTGAAGCCAAATTCTGACTTCCCCACCTGGGTCAGAGGGAATGGGTTAAGGTCGCCCTCCCGTGCTTTTGCACTTTTGTGGCGCCAGCTTTGTGGTTGCTGTGCCGGTTTATATTCTCTGACACAGGTGGAGCCAATGGGGAGAGATTGAAGTCGCTCATCCAAGTTGAACTTGACAATCAGCAACGCTTTCTCGAGATGTCTGGTGGAAAAGTGAATTCGGGAAGAAAGTTCAAGGCACAACTGGCTTTGGAAATTTGTTTTGTTTGTCTAGACACGCTTCTTGATGCTGTTTGCCTGTTCAATCTACTTGTGACTGAGCAGTATGTCCTGATGGCCTTGCAGGCCGTTGTGCTTGTGGTTAGTTTGATTCAGCAGCTCAGACTTGGGATTTTGGATGTTCTTGCAGCGTTCATAGAGTCGTTTCGAGTGGGATTTCAGACTGACAAAGTCATTCAAACTTTGCAGTCAGAGAAGCTCGTGGAAGCTTTTCTGTTTGTTCTCATTCAAGGCGTGGCTCTTTCCTCCTCACTCGATGACTTCTCAGCTTTCCAGCTGTCTGTGAGCATGTGCGTGAGTATGTTGGGCATTACCAAGGCGATCTACAAAGAGGTTCACTTGGACCTTGCAAGTCGCGCCTCCCTTCATGCACCCTCCCTTCCCGCGACAATCGTCGGGAAACTTCTCCGCCGGCCAAGCTCATCTGCCTGCAAAGAGAAACTGGATGCTCCTCTTCAGGATCCTTTGCCGGGGCCCGAACTTCTACCGCCACGACTTCTACCACCACCACCTGGACTTCGGTCGCCATCTCCTGGGCCTCCCCAGCTGCCCATACAAGTGGAAGCACGCAACATCCGAGACACAGAATGAGATACAATGATGCTGCTTGATTTTTTGTTCAAGTATCCCGTTTCACCGCAATTTAATATTCTCTTTCACGAAAGCGATCTCCGAAGGAGGTCAGCTGAAGTTTCAATGCAGCCTCTGCCAACCAATACAAAGTTTGCGAAGATGCCACCTGCACGACCTTCTGGGGATGCAGGCAAGTGTTGTGGAATACCCAACTCTATGTCTATTGCTTTCTATTCCAAAAAAGATGGACTCAATGCTCGAAAGACGTTGCTTGAGAGAACCCACCTGAGTTCCATAGTGGGGCTAGGTTTTGACAGCTCACCTTACAGCCAGCGAAGCGCAGGTGGCGGAGCGCACTCTGTTCCTTTGGAACAACGACTACATCGTACGCCTCATAACCTCGAGTCGGAAGGCACCGATGGGGCTGGGTGACTCGAACACAGTACTGATTTTGCGGCCTGTTTAGACTCTGAAAAGACATTTGGACTGGTTTAACACCTGTTTTCTCGACTTGGGATTTTGCCTGCTCTTTGGGCTACCTGCTGGTGTGCGTGTGCTTCAGTTGAAGAGTGTACTCTACTAGCCTTGAGGGAGTTCGTTCAAAGAATGCACCATGGAGTGCCGTCCGTGACGGCTTATCGGGGGGGGGGGGGCACAGTGTGATTGCCAAGATCTGACTGTGCACGGCCTGGACAAAAAACCATCAAGAATCGAGATATTCTTGGGGCAATCCACATTTCTGTGGCTCTTTTTCTTCCAAGGCCTTGTTCCCAGCCATCATCGGGGCGCTGTACATGAACTCGAAGCTGCATTGGAGCAGTCAGAAGCTTGAGCGCTTTCAAGTCTGGGAACCTCAAGGTCTTTTGAGCTAATCCATCGGCTGACGCCTGATGTGTGAGGTGCTGTTCATGGACTCACCTTCAATGTGCTGAAGCTGTGATGGACTCAGCGAAGCATTTGGAAGATTGGGCAGGTAGGCATAGACACAGGCTGTCAGCTATAGCTCCGCCTGGTTGAAGGGTGCCAGATCAGTCATGCATGACTTGAATACCCACCTTGTAACATTGAAAATCCATTTCCCCAGGTCAGGAAGGGTTCAGAAAGAGATTGGGGGCTTCGAAGGCTGAGAGCTAACTCCATAGTGTTGGGCATGCGGGTGAACCAGTAGTTGTTTGCGCCCTCGTTTCCCTCATTTCCATCATTGTCGAGCATTACGGAATCTATGGTCACTTTAAGAAGGTAGTTCAACTTGGCCAAACATGGTCAAGGGCGCCCAAAACCCATCTGAGAGGATTCTTTTTTGATTTGTGAGTCATAGGCCCAGTGTGGTGGGTCGGTTTCTGGTCACCCGAGAAGACACAAAGCACGTTTTCGGCAAGGTTGATGGAGGCTGATCCCCAGCTGTTCGATGAATGCTGGAGCCTTATGAGCTAGCAAGTGGAGATCATTGCAGGGTTGGGCGGGGTGTATTGGAGAAATGTGGCCCGTTGCAATTGTCACTTGCTCATAGAGTTTGTCCTTTGCATCGCGGAAGGGAGGCCGAACCCTGCGACTCAACTCGCGAGGTTCAGCGAATCACAAGGAAACCTACGACGAGGAGGAGCAGCCACCAGCCCAGCACATTCGTGGCACTTTTTCTGCACTCGTTCGGCATTGTTCCACCGGTTCACGCCGGTCTTTGGAACCCACCTGACATGCCAAAGAGCTGCCGGTCGGGTCAGCGAGGGCCCTCCGTTTCGCCCAGGCGTGAAGCTACCAGAAAGCTGCGGTGGGCCACCTTGCAGGCGGACTTTCGCGGCATGTGCTGCATGTGTGGGCGGCGACCACAGCGAACGATGTCCAGTGTCCTGTTTATTCTTCTTGTTGCAAACTCAAAGAGCCCAAGAAGACAAAGCGTGTAAAAGCTTTCTGTTTGATCCTGATTGAAGTGTTCTTGCGTGTTCCTGATGCTCATGCCCCTGTTTGAAGCATTTTCATGCAACAGACTTCGTGTGACTTTGGTGGATCAGTGCGCCCAGGATCTACATGAGAAGAACTTCCCACAGGTCGTCTCTTAAGGATTTATGCCGTAGCCTCGATGCGCTGGACTGATGGGTTTGTCGCTCGGAAGGAGAGGATTGGATAGGATTGATAGCCTTGGCTGCCAGTCTTCCTTTATTTCTGATCCGCTTGAAGCAGCACTGGTGACCTTTCTCAGGGCTCTATTTCTTTCTATCAAATCTCTAGTGAACCACTTAGCATAACTCTGATGGTCTTGCAAAATAGTATATAAAACAAGCAAACTCTGATGGTTAGCCGGTTAGCCTGGGTCCGGCGAGCACAACTCTAGGGTTGTGGCAGCCTTGGGCACCTGCCGACCTGCCCTTCTGCCTCCGAGGCAGTGAACCACAGCCAGGGCAGAGTCAACCACACACCGTGGACCTGAGAAGGTTTGCCAGTGGCAACTCCAAAGAATTTGTGTCGATATCGCTCATGCACGGGATCAAGGCTTGCAGTTTAGGCACGTCCTTTTCCTTCTCCTGGGAGCCATGTGTGGAGAACTCTGCAGTATCATATCTCTGCGAGCCAGGCCTGAAATGGGGCCATCTTTGTGGCCGTAGGGTTGGGAGGTTTCACCCCCAAGATCGCCCGAAAACGGAGCTCGATTTCCGGTCGCGGTGTTTGGTGAGGATTGGCTAAGTCGAGGAAAGGAATCTTCTCTTTCCATGGCTCAACTTTTTTTTCCATCGTTTTCGTGCGATCAAGCCGGGCCAAAGAGCATTGTGAGGATGGTGTTGGTCGCTGGTAGCCTCAGAGCTCATGGCCATTGGGCTCAAAGATTGCTTAGCTTGCTTGGCACGGTGTAGAAGAATAACACATGAGCTGAGTATTCGCTTCTTAGCATACATTACCTTGGCCCTTTCAGACAATTTCTCCTTAAATCCTTCCACTTGGACATCGCAACGTTTGGCTTTTGGACAGTTTACCCAGTGAACATAGCATTGGTTTGGTTTTTGAGATGCAACCCTTTCATTTGACAGTCACCTCTCAAGCGCTTAAGTGACAAGTCCTACAGTCGCCAACGGCGTGTTGGATGGCAGACACCAGGCACGTTCGGTGACATGAAGATAATTCAACACGTCAACGACATGAGGTGCCTTGAAGGCAAAGTCCCGTTTCAAACTGTGCAGCGTTCATTTTCATGTTGCGACATATGGTGCTTGGGATTTTCAGTCAAGTTTTACGCCCGGAGTTTATGAGGAGCTTGTCATCTCACCTTGTCATCCCACCTGCTTGCCAGGGCCCATGGTGCTGCGGTCGCCGACGTTTCTGGTGGGCGCGGGGTCCCAGACCGGGCTCAGCGATTAGCTTTGCATGGCTCGAGGAGCCTGGGTAGCCTGGGCCTAGGCTACCGAGATGTGACTCTTCCGAAGAACTCCCATTGGTCTTTGGTGGACCTCCATTTTTTGTCCTTGGAATGAGATTCTTTCGGCCTGGCAGATTGAAGGTGCATGTGAGGTACAGGTGTCTTTTTGCAGACCAACTTTTACATCTCAACAGTGCCAAACAGAAGGGCCAGCTTTTAAAGAGCCAGAGCCTTCCCAAGAGATGGAGGATTTTGATAGGTTAGGCACTTTGAAAGCAACTCCGTTGGCCCTTGTGGATTTTGAAATTGTCGAAGAGAAGCCTTCATCCTTCAGCATAAAACTCTAACGTGCAGTTGCAGTTCAATTTGTACTCCTGCCAGTGTGCATTTTCACTGTCCAAGTTCCTGCCCGCTTTGGCTCAGACTTCACATAGTGCTGCCCTTTTTTAGGGCCTTGGATCACCTGTGTGCCATGGGTCAGGAGAGGAAGCGTGTCGGTGCCATTTGACCCACCTCTCATTGTTTTGTTTCATCCTTGGATTTGACATATCACCAATCAGTATTTAGAGCGGTAAACGCAAGCAATCCTCTTCAGAAAGGGAGATGTTTGTAGCTGTAGTTGTTCTTAGTAGAGATCAAAGCCAACCCTTTGCCCTACGAGCTGGGGACAATGCAGAATGGGGCCTCACCCCCACCCCAAAACAAAGCCAATCGAGGGTGACTCATTTGCCGCCCTTGCGTCACCAGGATTTGGGCATAAAGCTCAATGTGAAGGTTGTTCACCTTGGATTCACAAACTCCAAAGAGCACGAGAAACCAACCGCACAACTGCCTTCACAGGGCCAGACACCGCACACGACTGCCGTTGGGTGGTGCCAAATCGTTTTGCGGCCTTGGCTGATTTTTGGGACGAGGACCTGGCAAAGGAGTGCGGATGCAACTACGGGGCCGAGGAAGATGCTCAAGAGCAGCGAGCGGAGATCGTGCGGAGCACCCAGAGCTTCTCGTTGGCTGGGTCAGAGCGAACTGTTCTAGTGAAAGCTAGCATATGACCGGCTGACCGCCACCGTTCAACGGAGTCGTCGGAGTACTGAGTAGTCTAAGCTGCTTGCCCAATGTGTGGATGACAAATACTGGTAGGTGATATGGTGATACCTGGAAGATTGTTGAGGGGCTGCTGAACTCGTGCAATAAAGTTTCCAATCCATTCCTGAAATTGCTCTCAGTATCCAGTATCCGCTTTGTGATGTACAGAATTCCATTCTATGCTGTTGGACAGGACATGATCCGACTGATTCAGAGTTGCTGTTATGTTCTTCCAGTGTGGGCGGGTCATCATGCCGAAGATGTTCAGGACCAGTCTGCCTTCAGAGCTTCTCCGACGGGAAAATCAGGTGCTCATTTGATCCCGCCAATGTCTGTAGACGGGCCTTGTTTTGTTTGACTTCATCTCAGCACTATTTAGTAAGGACCTGGTCTTCCAAGTGGCAACTGTTTGGCTCTGCATTTGGTAGAACGCATGGAAGGGAAACTGCACTGCCAGGAGGCAAGTCTGCCCCACGGACCTTGCCCGAACATGAGGAGGAGAAGGGAGGGAACTCAGGTCAGACAAAGTCTCATCCTCACCTTGGCAGGAGGATCAGTGCCTCTCCAAACTGGAGAGTCCTCCAAAAGAAGAAAACTCACTGAAACGATTTAGCAGAGAGAGAGAGAGAGGCGGAAAGGGGAGGAGAGTAGCCCTCCAAAGACTCTCCAACGGTCCCTGCTTGCGACAGGATGGAGAACATAGATGACATAGATGAAGATGCTGACTTGTTGGGCTAATCCCTCTAATTAATACCAGGTTACCAGGGAATGTTCATCTACGCAGTTCTGCATACAGACCACGTTTTCGCCACAAAAAAGCCGGCCTGCACCTGAAGCCCGTCCTGGGAGGAGAGCTACCTGGTACCTCCGCCACCAGCCCCGGCTGTCTCGGTCGCCTGTCTGAATGAATGCATAAAGCTTTTGAGGAGGTCTTTGGGAGTGAGGAGAATGCCAATCTCATCACGTCTGCGCTTTCTCTCATTTCTCCTTAAATGGATTTAACATGGTAGATGTCGTACATTCAGATCGCACCCATACTATATAGACTTGTTTTCCCGCGGACGACCCCAGGCGGCGCCCAAGCCCGCGCCCAAGCCGGCTGCGGCTCCGGCACCGGCACCGGCGCCAGCACCGGTGGTGCAAGGCTCGAAGCCAGCGACGAAGCCGGCGAGGCCGGAGGGTCAAGATGTGATGAACGAGGCTGACCAACATGGGACCATATTGTTAAAACAATATCTATATATATATATATAACATTATATGTTTATGTATAATACCGTACTGCTGTATAGAAATGTTTCTGGATTTTGTGGATTTTTAGGGTGACAGTGAATTGAAGAGCACGAATGAAGAAATACGATGGCTTTTGAGATGAAGGGAAGACCATTTTCCGTTCTTGGACAGTTGTTGTAAGGAGGTGTTTGGTTTTCAGAGGATTCCTCGTCGTACTTCTGTTTTGGTTTCAGGGTGCCCGTGATACATTGTGCCCGCTGTGTGGGTATCACTTTTCCCCCCGCAGACGATGACAAATTCTGCAGACAGATGCGCTTCGCAAATTAGTTCCGCGAAGACGAATTCCTCCGCGAAGACAAATTCCTACCCGAAGAGGTTTGCCGAAGACGATTTCCACGAAGCTGAATCCGAAGACGAGTCCTCCCCTGAAGACGAATTCCACGAAGACGAATTGCACTCGAAAACGAGTCGCTCGAAAACGATTTCGAAGAGGGGTATAGAGTCCCTTGAGGATAAGAATGCGCAGCTCGCACATGACCAGTCATCGCAGCACTTTCTTGCAGTTGATCGTTTCCGCAGCGTGGGAGCCGGGGTTGGCAGGTCATTGAGGTGTATTTATTTTATTCATTCATGGCCAGATGGGATTTCTGTATTGAAACCTAAGTCATGCGGGGTTGATCCCCCAAAATCCACCGAACAGCTGAGAGTGCATCCTAAATAGTTGCCCTCACATAGTTTAGCTGTGATGGAAATAAGTCCGTGACTGGACCCTTGTCACCCTCACATATGAATGTCATTGAATGTCAACCTTCGATTCCAAAGACACTCTGTGTAAGTCGCCTGGGTGCAGCGCCCCCTGGCGTCTCACCCTGCGACTCCGGCCTGACCCGCCAAAAAATGACAGATGTGGCCTTCCTGACGGCTGGAACGATGGAAGTGGGTCGTTGGATTTGAGCCATTGGACCCCTATGTAATGCACAACTATGTGATGCCCAAGCGTGAAAGGCTTTCTGTACGAAAACGCTCGGCTGCCTGGGCTGGCAAAAATAAGCCCCCCATAGCCGCTCCCCTCAAATGCAGGTGCTTTGTGTCCAATGCCTGTCAATGCGTCGTTGAAACGTGTCGTCAGGGGGGAATGCATCGTGAAGGAATGTGTCATAACAATGGGTTGTCAAAGGGGAATGTGTCGTTTGGAATGTGTCGCCGCAGTGAGTCGTCACCGTTTGGAGAATGTGTCGTGAAGGAATGCGTCGTCAGCGTCACCACTAAAAGTCATACCCCAAATGCAGGTACTCTGCTGTGATAAGCACATTGGTGTCCGTCTTATGAGATTTGATCCACCCTGAAACCTGCATGGGGGCTGGGAAGCTGGCTTATGGAGATTGTCATGTCTGAGAGTTGTGACTCAGGGATCTCCGACAACCCAAGCTCACCATGCAGAAGATTCTGGATGACTTGGAGGCAGATGAACTGATGGGTCAAGAGCAGATATGTGAGGCCAGCGATACATGGGACAAGTCGGACAAGCTAGAATTCACTGTTGATGGATTTTTGAGCCACATCTCCCAAGTCCCTTCTGGGGGAAGACTTTTCAAACTCTGTTTGGTTTGTTGGTTTAGTTTGGGTGAGTGGCAGTGCGTGGGTGGTTTCTCTGTCTTCCATCCGCTCCAGGGCTCGGAAGAAGCGGCCTATGCGGCCGCCTTCAACAGCATGTCGGGTGGCGAGGTGAGTCCGAAGCGATGTCCGTCACTTCGTGGGCCTTTTCGACGAAAACCACCTCGAAGTGTGAACATCGACCCTCATGTTTCAAAGCACCTGATGATTTCCTCGGTTTTTTTTTTTTTTTTTTTTTTTCGGAGAGCGGAAAAAGCCGGATGTTGCAGGCCAGTAGAGGTGCCAAAGTTCATTTTATGTGAACCTTTTTGGCAGATAATCCTATAGCCTATAGCCTATAGCCTAATTAGTCAATTCGTTTTCTGCTTTCGAGGCATCCCCTCCCCATGGCGCTCAAAACGTGCATCGCAGCTGGGCTGTCTTCAGGCCACTGTACAGCCCGACAACCAGGCGTTGCGCCAATTCCTGGAAATGCACAGTGGGGCTCCCAAGTTCAGGGATCGAGGCAGAGGAGCTGGGAGCAAGAAGAGATCTCCCAAATCCATCCACTGAAGGACATGCGTGAAGATTTGCAACAGTTCAAAGAGTTCAGAAGCTTTCAAGAATTTCCAGGTACGAGTTCAGTGCTGCAAAGTGCTGCCCCCTTACTTGCACATACTTGCGCCTGTTTTGGCTTCTCGAGTGCATCCAGGCGGAGTGACCGACATTGACACCGAGCTCCTGAAGATTGCCAGCAGTAATGAGGCGATCCTCCGTGTGAAGGGAATTGGCCGATGCCAAAGTTATGGGATTGATGCAATCATATTTAACCTGATCAATTCATTTGCCAAAATCTGGCAGGCCAGTGATTGAAGATGCGTCACGTGATATTTTCCAAAATCAGGGTCGGAACCAATGGCAAACTGGAGGTGAAGATAGGACGTCAGAGCGGATCGTGCAAATTTGCAGACAGTTTTGCTGTTGTGTTTTCTACTGATGTATATATATATATAATTATGTAGAGTTATGTAGACACTGGGGCCACAAAGCTCTTTATGGCTGCAATCAGGACGCTTTGGTGTTTGCATGCACATGACACGTGTCACGTTTTTAATGATGGTCTTGCCTGAAACTTCACAAGATTTGGTCAGATTCAGAACTCCTTCCCAACCTTCCCACTAGGAGCTGCTAGTAGCGTCCTTGCTCCTAGTAGTAAGGCCAGGAGCCCCTAGTAGCGTCCTTGCTCCCAGAACTCCTTCCCAACGTTCCCACTTTCCTCCCACTTCCTCCCACGATGTCCAGCATTTGGCGTGAGGCCTTTGCGATCGACAGCAGTTCCTTCGTGATGATGCTCCGCCTGAACCCGGTCAACGAGTCTGAGGCTCTCGAGGCAATGTGTCCTTGGATGTGGGACCGTAAACCACCACAATCCCACAGGGCACGCAATTTTGTGGTTAATTCGACACGTTTCTCTAACTGCAAAACAATTTTGTATATTTTGTGTATTGAATTCACTTTCGGCCTCATCTGGTTTAGACCAATTTTCCTGCACTTGCTGTTTCAAGCACGCCCGCCCAGTCTTTCCTTCGGTTGGCTGGTGGCGGAGATCAAATCAGTGCGGAGGCGGGGAAGACGTTGAAGAGTCACAGGATCAAAGCGAAGTGGCAGAGCCACATGGAGGTCCCAAACTAAAAACATCCATTCTGTTCAGACATGGAAGGAACTATTACACTTCAAAAAGGTGTCTTTTCAATGTGTACTTTTCACAAAAATGTTTCGCCGATTTGCAAAGTCCGGCTTGCTCGTCATGTTCAGCGCCTTCCGATTTGACACCGTCCCTCTTGCGATTGAACTCGGTGCCAAAACCTGAAACGACAATGGAAGTAATTAGACAAGACCACTTTCACTTCGACTGAACTTGTGTGCTTTCCTGAAATCTTGTTCATCACCGTGAAAAAAATCCAATTTGCAGGAGTGAACACTGGGAAGACGGAACCCCCGAACCCCCGCTCTCCAGGACTGCCGTACAGGGCTCTTCCAGCTTTTGCAGTCCATAGGTGCCATTCAGCCGGGGCTGTTCGGCAGGCAACACTTTTTTCCTCTTGGATGTTTTTGGGGCCCTTCAGCTGTTTTGAGCGAAGCATAGGTCGCTTCGGCACCGATAGGATGCCAGCCACGATTGTCATGGGAGAACTGGTGCTTCCACCGAGCAACTTAAACTATGACTCTCTACCATGCCAGCCATGACCATGAGTACTGCGGATCCTGCTCTTGCTCTTGCAACAGCGGTTGCTGCTGCTGCCGATACTTCATCCGCAACTCTCACTGCTATTCTCATGGTCACAGATCACACCAGCCACCTTACTCAGCAGTACTCCGATTTCTACTTTGACTGACCTTTCCCTCAAAGCACTGCCACTACCATAAAGCTTCCACATAAACTGACGCATCAATCCCAGTTCTTTTGTTGGAGAGGGTCTTCCTTGATCTGGAGTCTGGAGAGTGTCTGCGGTTCCGATTGTGAGGATTCGCATGATTCTTATCTTGCCATTTTCTAGGTGGCGAATCCTTCTCCGGGGACGAGTGCGACTTTATCATCGATGCGTCGATGGTTGACACCCCAGTTGGCCATAAATCATATTTTCAGGCCATTGCCAGAGTTTGACCAAGTAAAGTCAAGTCAACTGGCATTGGTACTGGTTCAGACCCATTCAAGATGCCAGGTTTCACGTTTGTTTGACAATGGCCACCCTTGCATTCCTGCGCAATTTGATGAGAAGGAGCAGGCAATGCGCAGCGTTACAAGTGAACGCTAAAACAAAGGCTAGCCTTTCAATTGGACGGGAGATGGATCAGCAGGTCTCACCTCGGCCCAAGGTCAGTGCTGGTCTCCAAATCTCCATGGAGCAGTGGGTGGGCTTCACCAAAACTGCTGGCAGGCGTGGAAATCGACCCGATTCCGAAGATTGATGTCCCCAACCAATGGGCCTTGAAAATCACAGAGGTGACTCCCAAATGCAAGGAAGACGAACTTTGCGGCTTTGCGCTCAATCTGACTCCCCTTGCAACCAAATGTAAGCTCAACTTGAGATGTTTCTTTCCACTTCCGAGCTGTCAGAGGTTTCAACATAGAAACCAGGCGTGCTGCCTCTCTTTTTCACGTGTGTTTACCGTGTAGTTTCCCAACCTAGACCATGAGACGTCCTTTTCTGCTTTTCTGTGACTCGATTCAGATGCCGAAGATCTGTCAGGATTGCCCGCTTGGCCAACTATGCAAAGGCCTTCTAGGCCATTCTAGGCAGCCGGGGTGGCAAAGATGGCACACACTTGCAGTGATGTCCTCACGCAACTCTCCCGCTTCGGAGTGGAGAAATGTCAGTTCTTCCACGGCTTTTTACAAGGATTGTACACCATATTTCACAATTTCTGGGATATGATATGCAGAGTCTGTGTTCGGTTGGATGACAAAGTTTCATGTCCGTTTGGAGGCTGGAGATGCTTCCATCGTTTCGGATCCAAGTGAGCTGCTCGCCAAAGTTCTTGTGGCACACCTTTTCCGCGAGCCACCCTTTTGACCCCAAGCTGCCCAGGGCATAAGTAGTTCGACAACAAGTGACAATCAAATAGCAAGATTGAGCCATACTCCAAACTCGTGCTTCGTTCTTTCGGTACGCAGGTTTGTATGAGCTTCTTGCTCTTCTTCTTCTTCTTCTTTTGCTCCTTCTGCTTCCAACACTGGCTTTCGCTTGCTTGGTCAAGCGTGAAGAAAGACGGGGGCCAAAGCAATAGGTAGAATTAGCGACAATATTGTTTATTAGGGGACCTCACCTTTTTGTGCTTTCATAAGGCATAAGGCAAGACAACCTGAGACTTTGAAGAGCAGAATGGGCCACAGGCTGCCGCAGGCGCTTGCGAATCTCTTGCTGTGGCCCCAACCAAGGGCAAGCCCAGTGAGAAATGGCTTGGAGGGGTTTAAACATTTGCAAGGCACATGAACCTCATGAAATGGCCCTCCATATATAGTAATATACAATATACATTTGGAAACCACCCTTCTTATTCTTGTAGGTGTAGAATCAGGGTTGTATATATTACTTTTTGCCTTGGTGAACCAATCATCCCCGAGACAATTCTTCGAACAAAAGATGAGATCCGCCCAAGAACCCCTCCTGGCCCCAACGAGGACAAAAGTGAACGCAATTCGGCCACCGAAGAGTGGCACTAGACAGAGCCGTTCGAACGCTGCACCTTGCATTGCCTCGGGGCCGCAGCTGCGAAATGGCCTCATCCATGAAAGAGTGAAGCAACCACCCTTAGGGGAATGCGTCTTGAACGGGCAAGAAGACAACGCTGTTTGGACATAATATTTTGACAACTCCAGAAGGCAGTTGGTGAGCCTTGCGAAGCAAGGGCATTTCCCAGCAACTCTGGCCAGCTACTGTTGCAAGGTTCCTTTTGGCCCCGCCATCACTCTTAGACAGAGGATGCTGACACCAAACGTGGCACGCAAATCAAGAAAGATGGGACGTTTCATCGAAGTGACGGACGTCGAGCACCGAAAGTGAATGTTTTGTTTGCCGGGGCTGTTTTTTCTTGGGCTAGTATGCTGGAGAGCTGATGAGAAACGCATGCACCGTCTGAGAGGAAGGAAAAGAGTGCACCCGCGCAGAATCTGCCCATGGCTTGCAGATTGTTTGTTGCAGTTTGTGACTTGACACATGTGAAGTGCACGAAACTGCCCGGAGTGAGTGGGCACCTGGTAGGAGGAAGGTTCAGCATGATCCCCAATCATCATGTTGTTACTCTTAGTGGAAGTAGCACGAATGAAAGCTCCACCAGAGTCGCGTCTCCACTGTGCATTTGTGTGTGGGTCAAGATTCAGAAACGCCACCACAGCAGTTGATCCATTGCATTGTTCTTTTGGTGACTTGGCCACAGAGGGATTCCGAATTGGACCTTTTGGGATGTAACAAAAACATCCATCGTTTTTGGATCCATCCGTTCTCCGGTTGCGCGCAACCGTTCTCCGCGCCGTAACCCGGCCCACAACGTGGACTCCGCACGAGGCACGGAGAAGCAGCGAGGTCTTCTGAACGAATTCTCGCGTGCCTCGGAGCAGTGGAGTGACTTGTCATGTGAAAAGAACCTCGAGATCTGCAGAGATCTCAAAGTGGGGATCTCAAATCAAACACTTTTGGCTCTGTTCCTGATTCTCAGGGGTGCAAGGTGGGTGTCTCCTGTTCTGTTTTGAGATATATAACTGCATATGACCTTGGTCTGGGTGTTTCCAGTTTCCAGAGCATTGTTGACATGGCTTTAAAAAAGTACAGTGGCTGAAATTTTCAACAGCTCACGCATTGTTATTTGTTGGGCATATGGTATACAGTATACATATAAAAATGCAGTTGCGAGAAGACACCACTCACTGCACTCACTTCGACAAGAATCCCCACCACACACATCTGAAAAAGGAACAATTCCAGTAGAACTCTCAAAAGCAATTGCTCTAGAGCTTTGCAACCAGCGTCACACGTACAGGGTCTTCAAGGTTCACTGAGATGCCAGGGTCTAGATGTGAGAACAAGGGCCCCAGAACCAGAAGAAAAGAAGAGAAAGAGGGAGAAAGGAAAGAGGAAGATGAAGGAGCTGTGAGCTGTTAGCTGACCAGCTGACCTTGTGAGCTGTGTGCGTCGTGTCTCGCATCAATCCGGATGGGGAGTTCATTTTCCCGTCTTATGGATCATTGTGCCTTCCTTGCTCCTAGTAGTAAGGCCAGGAGCCCCTAGTAGCGTCCTTGTGCCTAGTGAACAAGATTTGCCAAATCATCAAGTGAAGTTTAGTGTAGGAAACTTCTGTGTTACGGACATTCAAGAACTGTTCATACACCACTCATCAATACACCACTCATCATACACCACTCATCAATACACCACTCATCAATACAGCACTCATCATACACCACCATCATACACCACTCATCATACACCACTCA